GTAGTAGCTAGTAGGTAGTAGTAGGTAGTAGGTAGTAGGTAGTAGGTAGGTAGTAGCTAATAGGTAGTAGCTACAAGCAGTTCCCGGGCAAGCCGGCGGCGGAAGTTTCCTATAAGAACAAATTGACCTATAGGAGTGTCCACGTTCTCTCCAACACGCGCGTCCTCCAGTCAAACGCACGCGCTCCGGACTTGTGCCCCCTGCAGGATCAGCAGCTCACAACAGCGTACTGGGTTGTATCTTTGCCACGACAAGAGGGGTGTATGACGAGTGGTGTATGATGAGTGGTGTATGACGAGTGGTGTATGATGAGTGGTGTATGATGAGTGGTGTATTGACCAGCAGTTGTATTGACCAGCAGTTTTTGTCCTGCATAAATGCAACCAAATACTATCAGTATGAACTGTGCCAAACCTGCACGCCGCGAGAGATGACTCAGCAGCGAGAGATGACTCCTCCGCGTACTACACTTGTACTACAGCTTCCAGCTCCACAGGTTGTTCCGCGTGCTAAAGTTGTACCAGAAAGTTGCCAGTTCTCAGCTTCCAGCTCCACAGATACTCCGCGTACTAAAGTTGTACTACAAAGTCGCCAGTTCTCATCGTCCAGCTCGCCAGATACTCCGCGCACTAAAGTTGTACTACAAAGTCGCCAGTTCTCAGCTTCCAGCTCACAGATTGCTCCGCGTACTAAAGTTGTACTAGAAAGTCGCCAGTTCTCAGCTTCCAGCTCTACAGATTGCTCCGCGTACTGACTAAAGTTGTACTAGAAAGTCGCCAGTTCTGAGCTTCCAGCTCTACAGATTGCTCCGCGTACTAAAGTTGTACTAGAAAGTCGCCAGTTCTCAGCTTCCAGCTCTACAGATTGCTCCGCGTATTAGAGTTGTACTAGAAAGTCGCCAGTTCTCAGCTTCCAGCTCCACAGATACTCCACGTACTAAAGTTGTACTACAAAGTCGCCAGTTCTCGTCGTCCAGCTCGCCAGATACTCCGCGCACTAAAGTTGTACTACAAAGTCGCCAGTTCTCAGCTTCCAGCTCACAGATTGCTCCGCGTACTAAAGTTGTACTACAAAGTCGCCAGTTCTCATCGTCCAGCTCGCCACATACTCCGCGTACTAAAGTTGTACTACAAAGTCGCCAGTTCTCAGCTTCCAGCTCCCCGGATGCTGTGCCTGCCACGAAACCTGCACATGGAGGTTACAAAGTGCTGTGCTTGCCACGAAATCTGCACATGGAGGTTCACAAAGTGCTGTGCCTGCGAAGAAATCTACACATGGAGGTGCACAAAGTGCTGTGCCTGCCACGAAATCTGCACATGGAGGTTCACAAAGTGCTGCGCCTGCCACGAAATCTGCACATGGAGGTTCCCAAAGTGCTGTACCTGCCAGGAAATCTGCACGTGGAGGTTCACAAAGTGCTGCACCTGCCACGAAATCTGCACATGGAGGTGCACAAAGTCACAAAGTGCTGTGCCTGCTTCGAAATCTGCACATGGAGGTTCACAAAATGCTGCACCTGCCACGAAATCTTCACTTCAAGAAACAAGTGAAAACTCTAATCCCAATGGACGGACGATTCCGAGAATGATCCGAGCATGATCCGAGAATGATCTGAGCATGACCCGAGACCGTCTCGCAACCGTCGTTCCGCAGACCTTGA